CTTGAAAGTATCTCGTTAATTGCATTATTTCTAAAGAAGTCAATTTAAATTTGAAAAGATTATTTTGCGAAAAAATTATTCGGTTGATCGATTGCATTATAGCAACCACTTGTCGTTTGTCTCAAATATAGTTCTCAATTGTTTTCTCAATAACCAGATTATAATCGTAGAAACAAGAAATAAAAAAAGACATCCAGATTAATATTGCCGTCGTAGATTGCTGATGTTCCATTTGCCGATGAGTTTGAAAAATCATGAGCAAATATTTTTTAAAAGTTCTTGCAGCTCTTCTTGCTTTGTAATAATTGTTATAGAACTGGATTTTTTAACGCTAATTTGTCTTTATGGAGTGCCTCTATCAGTTCAATAAATAAAGGCTTCAACTCCTATAATTAATAATGATCTTTTGTTTTATTGTCAACTTAAATATAAAATTAATTTTTTGATCAGTTATTTACCATGCTTTATTTTGGTCCTTGCATTGGATCATAAACAAGAATCTTGAAAGATTTCAAATAATGCCACCAGATGCGGGACTGTATAAAATAGATAAATAAAAATGCTATAAGAATTTGAGTCTTTATCGTCAAGGATCAAGGAAGAACGTTCACAGTTGTCTGTCCACCGTACGTCAGGTCTGAATAACTGACTGGAAACTTTCGCAAACTGTGGCCTCGAAGAGCTTTCTTTCTCCGGTTTTACACCTAGTGGCCAAATACATAACAAATATCTCTGTGATATTCACCTTATAATATAGCAATCGATGTTCATATTTCCTCAAAATCGACAAATTTCCTTTTCGAATACTTTTCCTTTGACTACAGAAGGTGTATTTTTTTTAAGAAAAAAATGAATATTATGAAATGAAATGGAAAAGTTATTGCATCTTCTTAGAACATAATCGATTTATCTAAATCTATAACAAGTCTCTACCTATGTTATTGTCAAAAACGATATAAAATTAATGAATAGAGAATACAAATGAAATTATATTACTGTAAATTAAATCAATCTTCTTTATGTAAGTTTTAATTTTATCAATATAGTACTTGGAAACAAGTAATAATAATATGGGAGGTAGCAGAGAATATAAATAAATTCTCACGAATCTGAGTAGCTAATTTGCTGATAATCTAGATCAACAATTTTTAACCATTACAATTAAATTTTCAAAAGTTTTTTTTCTTGATGTATGTACAGTAAATTGAACCTTCGCTCGCATAAAGCATAAAGAATGTGACATATCGATTGGTCTAAAATTCATGTTAATCAAAATGGTACAATCTTTCTTTTCTCTGCTCAATAAATTATTCATGATCGAGGTGAAAATTATTGCGCCTATAGAACTTTTTGGCGGCACATCTCTTTTTTTTTCAACAACTAATAATTCTAGTAAATTCTCTAATACTTAAGCGAATTCATAACGAATGATGAATATATATATATATTAAATCTCAAATTTTGCTAACATTATTTTGATATTAACTTAATGGTAGCTAAACTTTTGTAAAAGCAACTTCTTAATATCATTAAATAAAATTAAAAATAAAAAACACACATTGTTAGCATTGTTGAAAGCCTGTACTAATTAGTCGTGAAAATTCAAATTTTATTATCTAAATGAATATCATTTACTAATTATTATTTTAACTAACCAACAAATACAATTTTTAGTAAATTAAGTTGCTAATTAATATTTTTGACATTTCTGACGCTTTTTATATTCAAAAAATTTTTTTTAATCTTTGGTTTTCTTATTTACATTATATTTGTATAAGTATTAATAATTTTAAATTTTATTTTTTAATTTTTCGTTTCTTTTGAGACATTTTATTTTATTATTTTTTTTTTTTTAATTACAAGTTCGATCGCCTTAATCTGATTTATTTTTTGCTTCCTTTGGGCTATAACATTAAAAGAAATTTTTATAAATGATCGACAAATGTTTGGCAGGTGTATTTGTAACACTAGATATTTTAAATTGCTAATAAATGCTTTTTTTGGTTTGGTTTTAAAATTTCTTTCTCACTAGAAACGTTATTTTTCCTTTTCAATTTTTTTTTCTTTTTCTTTAAACAAAATGTCTCTTGATCTCCCTGCTGACTGCTTAAATGAAATTTTTGAATATTTGAAAGATGAGGATTTACGATCATGCATACTAGTAAAC